GAGCAAAGCAAAGCAAAAGGCGGGCGGCAACAGCAGCGGCAGGGGCGGCAGCAGCCGGCAACAGGGGTTACACCACCACCAGCAACAACAACAGGGGCAGCAACATCTTCAGCAGACGCCGCAGCGGCGGCCGCAGCAAGATCAGCAGCAACGGCCACAGCCGGCGCGATTGCAGGAGCGGAACCAGAGGGCCAACGGACAGCACAGCAGCGAAGCGAGCAGGGGAGCGGCCAGCAAGCCGGAGGCGCACCTGGATGGGGCAAAACGCTCCATGACCAGCAGAGCCTGGAGCAGCGCGATAGGCGTCTGTGCGAGGTGATACTGCAGGTGTTCTGGCGCAGCCATTCCCTTCATGGGCGACCGCCGGCGGCTGTACTGGGTGCTCTGCTGGCTGGAGCAGGCGCTGCCGCGGGAGTGGCTTGCAGCCGCGCAACGGGCGGCGCCCCGGGCAGCCAACGGACGACTGACAGCGGCTGCACCAGAGGCGCGCATACCTGACTGGCTGGCGTTAGTTGCAGCGGGCGGGGCTGGAAGAGGCCGGGGGGCGTTTGCGGGATGGACGGCCCTCCGTGACGTTGAAAGGCCTGCAGGTCACGCAAACATGCAACGCAGCTACAGCCTTCGGCAACAACTACTCGCGCGCGATCGCAGTGCGGTCGGGTGCTGCACAGGGCAGCCCCGTCTCTCCGCTGCTGTTTGTGGCGGCGATGCAGCCTTTGGCAGCCCGCCTCCGTCATCTGCAGGCCGCGGGGGCCATCGACGGCATTCGACTGCCAGGCGGCCGGCTGGCGCCGCCTAGCTGAGAAGCATCGACGACGCCCTCAACGACGACGCCCTCAAGGCGCCCTTGCAAGTCCTGCAAAACGATTACGTCCGGCAGTTGGGGGGGTGCGGCGCAGCGTGCCCGCCACCATCCTCTGCGCTGAGAGCGGCCTGCCGCCGCTCGCGCGCGCGTGGCTGCGCGCAGGCGCGCTGCAATGGAACCGTATGATCAAGTCTGATGAGGGGATTTTGAAATGGGCGTTTGTGGGGGACCTCTCCCTGGCGTGCTCTCTAAGCCCGGCGCGGGCGTGTCGCACGTGCAGCGGCGCATGGCTGCACCGACGCACTTGATTGGCTAGCAGCCGGGGGGGCGCCCCTGGCGCCTTTTTGGCGGCCTATGCGGCGGGGGTGCGCAACACCCTGAATCAGGGCCCGGCTGCGATGGCGGGCCTTTGCCAGCAACTGGGAGGGTGGGAAGTGCATGCATGGGACCATGCGCTAGCAAACCGGGCTGCACGGGCCGTGCAGCAGGGTGCTGGTGCTTGCGTGGAGTATGAGGGTTGCTCTGCCGCTGGCGATGCTGATGAGGTGCCTGAGGCCGGCTTCCCGCCTCGCATGCCCCACTACTTCCGCCACACGTCCCGATTCCGGAACCACCAAGACGCGCGGGCGCTCATGCGCATGCGCTGCTGCTCTCTCCCCTTTGCGGCGTCGTCAACACTGCATTACAACACCCCCACCCTTTGCCCCCACTGCGACGGCCGCGACCTTGATGAAACGGCTGAACATGCCCTGCTCGACTGCCCTGCCTACGCGGACCTACGGTCCGCACCGCGCTTTGCACCCTTGTTTGCGGACCTGCCTGCACATGCCCGCATGCGCGCCCTTGTGCGCAGTGCGGACCAGCATACACTCGAGGCCTTTGTGCACGCCTGCTTCGAACGGCGAACAGTGGCCCCTTGGATCCCTGTCACACAATGCTAATGCTACCAAGTCATATCCCATGAGCCTGGATGGCTCCAGGAGCGGGCGACCGCGGGATCTTGTAACAATCCTAATCCTAATCCTAATCCCCTCTTTGCGGTCGCCCCATTCCATGGGGCGCTGAACGAGGGGCGCACCGGGGCAAGCTCCAAGCTGCCTGCTCTGCTCATCCACGCAGCGGGCGCCTCCAGGGCCTCTGCCGCGCGCGCCGCCTCTGCGCCGCCCGCGGCCCCCGGCCCAGTCTCACACCTCACGCTGGGCCCGTTCCCATTCATCTCTCCAGTGCCCTGTCAAGCCCCGTGCCCAGGCCGCCTCCAGGGTTAGCTGCCTATTGCCATCGTCGCACCCGTCGCTGATGCCCATGCCGCTGCCGTCGTGGTCGCCGCCCCGGCCGCCGCCGTCGCTGCCCCTGCCTCGCTGTTGGCTCTGGGTGTGACCCCACAACAGGGCCCTCCTCACGTCCATTGCCTTGACCGCCGCGAGGCAGACGGCGTGCCAGACCTGCGGCATGACGCCCAGCGGCGCGGGGCAGAGCCACACCTGCGAGCACTCAAGCCGGCCTGCCCCGGGGGGGGGGGGATGGGGAGCTGTTGTTAATCGAGCCCCCGCACCGCCTGCGCCACCTCACAGTCCCAGTAGACGTGGCGGCGGCCCGGCCGCTGGCCTCCCGCGCCGCACACACACGGTCTTTCCTGGTGATTTCGCGCGGGCGTCGGCGGGCCGTTGAGTGCAAGCTTCCAGTAGGCCTCTTTCCGCCGGTCATCCACCGGCAGGCCCCAGAGTGCACGAAAGACTGCCCCTTGCAAGTCAGCTGCCCCCGCCTCCACCAGGTCACCTGTCGACGCGGCTGGTTGCTCCAGCCGCTTGCTGCCACGGCCCCCACCGCTCCCGCGCCCCTGCTGCTCCTGGCTGCTGCTGTCGCTGCTGTTGTCATGCTGCTGCTGCTGGTTCTGCCGCCGCTGCTGCTGCTGCTGCTTTGCTGATGCTGCTGCTGCTGCTGCTGCTGCTGATGCTGATGCTGCTGCCGCTGCTGCTGCTGCTGCTGCTGCTGCTGCTGCTGCTGCTGCTGCTGCTGCTGCTGCTGCTGCTGCTGCTGATGCTGATGCTGATGCTGATGCTGATGCTGATGCTGATGCTGCTGCTACTGCTGCTGCTGCTGATGATGTTGGTGCAGGGCCCCTTGCACGTCAAGAGCTTCCGCCGTGCTGCTGGCTCAGGACGCCGCAAGCCTGCAAGCCCTCCTTGATCATCTTCAAAGCTTTTGTGTGGCCCACGGCCTGCGGGTCAACGTCTCAAAGTCCGTAATCGTGGTCTTTGGTGCCAAGCGCTGGCGTCGGCCGCGCGGGCAGCGTGTGTGGCGGTTTGCGGACGCCGACGTGCCCGTGTCCGACTCGTTCAAATACCTGGGCATCGAGCTGCACTGCACCCGCGCTTGCGCGCATG